TATATCTATCATTCATTAATGTGATGGTCGGTAGAAAGAATGCTCCTCCCACTTGTGGTCATTGGGAAGAATTCCTGATAGCTAAAAAGACCAATGGTGTCAGTGGGAACGTATCTGAGAGACAGAAATTGCTAAAGGAAACGCTAGAGGAGGAACCTTGGTATACCATTTACGTGTCTTCCAGCATTTGCTGGAGATGAACGACATCACAGTGTATATGGAGGAAGAGGACGGACATAACGGGATTAAAGGCGCCACAGTAAATACGGGTGGGTGGCCACCTCATCCCTTTGAACCCGAACACATCAATTAAACAGGTTCTGGGGCCAATTTAATGCAGATAAGGCACCACGTCAGCTTAACGATCACCTTAACCAACCCCAGAACCTGCGTTATTATTACGTGTTCGGTTTTAAAGGGATGACCTAAGGAAGAGGACTGACACAACCAGAACATTGGGAAGGGGCTGTAATTAAAGGGAAATACAAAATAAGACCTTATTACCTCCTCTGCTGCCAGTTCCAGCAATTTCTCCTCTCTACTTCCTGCTACTTCAACTGTAACTGTTGGTTTTTTCCTTACCTCACTTCCTGTCTTTAAGGTTACATCCTGTCTGCGCGTTACATCACTTCCTGTGCACAATCCATGAGATCCCCATCTTGTGGTGCACAAAAGGACTGCGGCCTACGCTGTTCCTGTCCCTCTTTGTAGACGCATTTGTAATGTGTTTGGACTAAACTGTTCCATCTTTTAAGTCAGGGCTTGACAAATTTCCTTTAAATCTAGGAGCCGGCTAAAAAAGTTAGGAGCCAGTTTTTTGGGGGTTTTTTTCAGCGTAGCGTGGGTTGTCAGCGCCCGGGACTTCACGTAATTTGCCACGCGACAATCGCAGCAAAACTGAAGTCTATGGGAGTTGTTTTCCCATTGAAGTCTATAGAGGCGATTTCCTGTTGAAGTCTTTGGGTGAGGATTTCCTGTTGAAGTCTATGGGGAGCAATTTGCCATTGAAGTTTCTGTGAGTTGTTTTCCCGTTGAAGTCTATAGGAGGTGACTTCCTGTTGAAGTCTATGTGTTGCCCCCATGCTGCCAAGTGTGCTGCCCCCATGTTGTCAGTGTGTTGCCCCATGTTGCTGGTGTGCTGCCCCCATGTTGCCAGTGCATTGATCCCATGTTGCCATTGTGTTACCCCCATGTTGCCATTGTGTTGCCCCCATGTTACCAGTGTATTGCCCCCATCTTGCCATTGTGTTGCCCCCATGTTGCCATTGTATTTCCCCCATGTTGCTGATGTGTAGCCCTCATGTTGCCAGTGCAACACCATTGGTTTTATCGGGAGGAATAGGGCCTTGTTGATGGTGTCCCATTGGTGTCAGTTGGTGGAATAGTGCCCCAAGAGCCAGATAAAGGCAAGCAAAGGGCCACCCGCAGCCCCCGGGCCGCAGTTGGGAGACCACTGCCCTAGAGAATCTAAGGCGCATGAAGGATATACATACATATACAGTATTTAGTACATACGCTCACCGGCCACTTTATGAGGTCCACCTGTTCAGTGGCCTGGTAACACAAATGGCTAATCAGCCAATCACACGACAGCAACTCAATGCATTTAGGCATCTAGGCGTGGCGAAGACGACTTGCTGAACATCAAACTGAGCATCAGAATGGGGAAGAAAGGGGATTTAAGTGACTTTGACCGTGGCATGGCTGCTGGTGCTGTCAAAAACTGATCTCCTGGGATTTTCCCACACAACCATCTCTAGGGTTTACAGAGAATGGTCCGAAAAAGAGAAAATCTCCAGTGAGTGGCAGTTGTGTGGAAGAAAATGCCTTGTTGAGGTCAGAGGAGAATGGGCAGACTGGTTGGAGATGATAGAAAGGCAACAAGAACTCCAATCACTCGTTACAACCAAGGTATGCTGAATACCATCTCTGAACGCACAACACGTCCAACCTTGAAGCAGATAGGCTACAGTGGCAGAAGACCACACCAGGTAGCAATGTGGACCTAATAAAGTGGCTGTTGAGTGTGCCCACCACGTTCATGAAGAGGGACGCCACTCTACCTGCTGAATTTTTATTTCATATCATAAAGAATGCTTAAAAAAAACAGAGAGGACGCCCCGACGTTGGCAGGAAGGGAGGAGGGAACTGTTGCGATTAGGAATGGAGGCAGGAACTGTTGCAGTCAGGAAGGGAGGAGGAACTGTTGCGGGCAGGAATGGAGGCGGGAACTGTTGCGGGCAGGAATGGAGGCGGGAACTGATGTGGGCAGGAATGGAGGCGGGAACTGTTGCGATCAGGAAGGGAGGCAGAACTGTTGTGGGTAGGAAGGGAGGAGGAACTGTTGCGGGCAGGAAGGGAGGCGGGAACTGTTGCGAGCAGGAAGGGAGGCGGGAACTATTGCGGTCAGGAAGGGAGGAGGAACTGTTGCGGGCAGAAAGGGAGGAAGAACTGTTGCGGGCAGGAATGGAGGCGGGAATTGTTGCGGTCAGGAAGGGAGGCAGAACTGTTGCGGGCAGGAATGGAGACGGAACTGCTACAGGCAGGAATGGAGGTGGGAACTGTTGTGGGCAAGAAGGGAGGCCGAACTGTTGCGGGCAGGAATGAAGGCGGGAACTGTTGCGGGCGGGACGGGAGGCGGGAACTCTTGCGGGCATGGAGACCGGAACCATTGTGGGCAGGAAGGGAGGAGGAACTGTTGCAGGCAGGAAGGGAGGCAGGAACTGTTGAGGCTGGAAGGAAGGAGGAACTGTTGCGGACAGGAAGGGAGACGGGAACTGTTGCGGGTAGGAAGGGAGGCGGGAACTGTTGCAGGCAGGAAGGGAGGCTGGAACTGTTGCGGGCAGGAATGGAGGCAGAAACTGTTGCGGGTAGGAAGGGAGGCTGGAACTGTTGCGGGCAGTAAGGGAGGCGGGAACTGTTGCGGTCAGGAAGGGAGGCGGGAACCGCTGCGAGCAGGAAGAGAGGCGGGAACCGTTGCGGGCAGGAAAGGAGGCGGGAACTGTTGCGGGCAGGAAGGGAGGAGGAACTGTTGCAGGCTGGAAGGGAGGAGGAACTGTTGCGGGCTGGAAGGGAGGAGGAACTGTTGCGGGCAGGAAAAGGAGGCTGGAACTGTTGCGGGCAGGAAAGGAGGCTGGAACTGTTGCGGGCAGGAATGGAGGTGGGAACTGTTGCAAGCAGGAAGGGAGATGGGAATTGTTGCGGGCAGGAAGGGAGGAGGAACCGTTGCGGGCAGGAAGGGAAGGCGGCACTATTGCGAGCAGGAAGTGAGGCGGATCTGTTGCTGGCAGGAATGGAGGCGGGAACTGTTGCGGGAGGAAGGGAGATGGAAACTGTTGCAGGCAGGAACTGTTGCGAGTAGGAAGGGAGATGGGAACTGTTGAAGGCAGGAAAAGGAGGCTGGAACTGTTGCGGGCAGGAAAGGAGGCTGGAACTGTTGTGGGGCTGGGAGGAGGAACTGTTGCGGGCTGGAAGGGAGGAGGAACTGTTGCGGGCAGGAAAAGGAGGCTGGAACTGTTGCGGGCAGGAAAGGAGGCTGGAACTGTTGCGGGCAGGAATGGAGGTGGGAACTGTTGCAAGCAGGAAGGGAGATGGGAACTGTTGCGGGCAGGAAGGGAGGAGGAACCGTTGCAGGCAGGAAGGGAAGGCGGCACTATTGCGAGCAGGAAGTGAGGCGGATCTGTTGCTGGCAGGAATGGAGGCGGGAACTGTTGCGGGAGGAAGGGAGATGGAAACTGTTGCAGGCAGGAACTGTTGCGAGTAGGAAGGGAGATGGGAACTGTTGAAGGCAGGAAGGGAGGAGGAACTGTTGCGAGCAGGAAGTGAGGCGGATCTGTTGCGGGCAGGAATGGAGGCGGGAACTGTTGCGGGCAGGAAGGGAGGCGGGAACTGTTGCGGGCAGGAAGGGAGGCGGAACTGTTGCAATCAGGAAGGGAGGTGGGAACTGTTGCGGGCAGGAAGGGAGGCAGATCTGTTTCCTGCACTCTGAACATGAATAGAGATGTCTAAGAAGAGCTTTCATTAGTGAAACATTTCCCGCACTCTGAACATGAAAAAGGACGATCTCCTGTGTGAAATTTTTAGTGTTTAGGAAGATTTCTTTTATTCGTGAAACATTTCCCACACCCTGAACATGAAAAAAAAGACGCTCACCAGTGTGAATTTTCCGATGAATATGAAGTTCTGACTGAACAAAATATTTCCCTCATTATTAGTGGAGCATTTCCCGTACACTGAATATGAATAGGAGTCTAGAAAAAGATTTCTTTTTATTAGTGAAACATTTCCCACACCTTAAATATGAATATGGAGTCTCCAAGATTTTTATTAGTGAAACATTTCCGCACACTGAATATGAATAAGAGCCTCTAAGATTTATTTTTATTAGTGAAATATTTCCCACACATTGAATATGAATAGTAGTCTCTAAGATTTCTTTATTAGTGAAACATTTCCCACATACTAAATATGAATATGGAGTCTCCAAGATTTTTTAATAGTGAAACATTTCCCACACTCTGAATATGAACAGAAGTCTCTAAGATTTTTTTTTTATTAGTGAAACATTTCCGCACACTAAATATGAATATGGAGTCTCGTGAACGATTTTTTCATTTATTATTAGTGAAACATTTCCCACACTCTGAACATGAAAAAGGACGCTCACCTGTGTGAATTCTCTGATGAATATCAAGTCCTTCTATCTGAAGAAGACATTCCCCTCACTCTGGACATGGCTTACTCTCCCCTGTGTGAAGTTTCTGGTGTCTAAGAAAATTTCTTTTATTAGTGAAACTTTTTCCACACACTAAACATGAAAAAAGGACGCTCACCCGTGTGAATTCTCTGGTGTCTAAGAAGGTGTGATGTCTGAGTGAAACTTGTCCCGCACTCTGGGCATGAATAAGGGCGCTCACCGGTGTGAACTCTCTGATGGATAAGAAAGTGTTGCTTCATAGAGAACCTTTTCCCGCACTCTGAACATGAAAAGGGACGCACACCCGTGTGAATTCTCTGGTGAATAAGTAAGTGTTGTTTGAGAATGAAACATTTCCCACACTCTGAGCATGAATAAGGCCTGTCCCCCGTGTGAATTTTCTGATGAATGGTAAGTCCTTCTTTCTGACTGAAACATTTCCCACACTCTGAACACCTATAGGGGCGCTCACCCGTGTGAACCTTCTCATGTTTGTGAAGTTCTTCTATCCGGGCAAAACATTTCCTGCACTCTGGGCATAAAAAAGGTCGCTCGCCTGTGTGAATTCTCAAATGACCCAGAAGGCTTGCTTTCTGACTGAAACATTTCCCGCACTCCGAGCAGGAGAAAGGACGCTCACCCGTGTGAGTTCTCTGGTGTGTAAGAAGGTGCGCCTTCTTAGTGAAAGCTTTCCCACACTCTGAACATGAATAGGGACGCTCGTGTGTGTGTGCCGAACATGACAACGATCTCTCTCCTGTGTGAACTCTGTCATGGGGTAAGGAAGAGGCCTGGGGGTTGGATGGATCTGTTGATTTTCCCGCACTGTGAGATCTTAGACATCTAGCTGGAGTTTGAGGATGAGATCTATCAGATGACTCCTGAAGACGAGAGCGACCCTTGGTTCTCCATAGATTTGGACGATCGACCTTTACTCTTGGAAATTGCTTTGCGACATCATTGGATTCTGTATTACAATCTGGAGATGAGACGGGATGACCCTCCGAGATATTCCGGACGTAGAGTCCACCTGTTGGGAAACCTTCCTTAATATTCAATGTATTCTTCATCCCTTCAGATACACTATATTGCACCAAGTATCGGTCGGCCGGCCTTTCCACGCACATGACCTTTAATGGCCCCCCCAGTCTTAGTCTGTAGGGTTCAATATTGAGTTGGCCCCGCCCTTTGCAGCTATAACAGCTTCAACTCTTCTGGGAAGGCCGTCCACAAGGTTTAGGAGGGTGTCTGGGGGAAGGTTGGACCATTCTTCCAGAAGCACATTTGTCAGGTCAGGCACTGATGTCGGGGGAGGAGGCCTGGCACGGAGTCTCCGCTCTAATTCATCCCAAAGGTGTTCTATGGGGTTCAGGTCAGGACAGTCAAGTTCCTCCACCCCAAACTGGCTCCTCCATGTCTTTTTGGACCTTGCTTTGTGCACTGGTGCGCAGTCATGTTGGAACAGGAAGGGGCCATCCCCAAACTCTTCCCACAAAGTTGTCCAAAATGTCGCCTTAGGAGTTCCCTTCACTGGAACTAGGGGGCCAAGCCCAACCCCTGAAAAACAACCCCACACCATAATCCCCCTTCACCAAACTTTACACTTGGCACAATGCAGTCAGGCAAGTACCGTTCTCTTGGCCACCACCAAACCCAGACATGTCCATCGGATGGCCAGGCAGAGAAGCATGATTGGTCACTCCAGAGAACACGTCTCCCCTGTTCTAGAGTCCAGTAGCGGCGTGCTTTACACCACGGCATCCGACGCTTTGAATTGCACTTGGTGATGGAAGGCTTGGATGCAGCTGCTCGGCCATGGAAACCCATTCCATGAAGCTCTCTACGCAATGTTGTTGGGCTCATCTGAAGACCACACCAAGTTTGGAGGTCTTTAGTTATTAACTCTGCAGACAGTTGGCGACTTCTGCGCACTGTGCGCTTCAGCATGCACTGACCCCGCCCTGTCATGTGACGTGGCCTACCACTTGGTGGCTGAGTGGCTGTTGTTCCCAGTTGCTTCCACTTTGTTATAATCCCACTAACAGTTGAGCGTGGAATATTTAGTAGCCAGGAAATGTCACGGATGGACTTATTGCACAGGTGGCCACCTATCACGGGACCACGCTTGGAGTCACTGAGCTCCTGAGAGCGACCCATTCTTTCACCAATGTTTGTAGAAGCAGTCTGCATGCCTAGGGGCTTGATTGTATACACCTGTGACCATGGAGGGGATTGGAACACCTGAATCACATGATTGGGAGGGGATTGGAACATCTGAATCACATGATTGGGAGGGCAGGGCCAATATTTTGGCAATATAGTGTATCTTATGGGTGGATCCAACACTAAACCATTTTCCATTCATGGAACTGTGTGCAATTATAACATACAAATATGAATACAAGCCAGATAAAGGATGGAATGCAAGAAAACCATACATGACAACTCTTTGTGCTTTGACTACATTATTTTTGGCGAAGACAAGAGATATACCTTCCTCCACCTCATTGCTTGGAAACATGACAACAGAGATGGACCTTCAATGGTGAAAGGCGGTGATGGTCAATACACTAGGTATAGGGGGCTCACCTGGCCGCTGACATCAACAAAAGGCAACACACATTTTTTTGGGGGGGAAGGGGCGAAAAATGATGTTCTATTGAGGAATGGAGATGGACCTTTCATATGGTGTCCAGTATCTCCTCCTCATTTGTTGGGAACATGACATTATATTGAGGAATGGAGATGGACCTTTCATATGGTGTCCAGTATCTCCTCCTCATTTGTTGGGAACATGACGTTATATTGAGGAATGGAGATGGACCTTCCATATGGTGTTCAGTATCTCCTCCTCATTTGTTGGGAACATGACGCTATATTGAGGAATGGAGATGGACCTTCCATTTGGTGTCCAGTATCTCCTCCTCATTTGTTGGGGAACATGACGTTATATTGAGGAATGGAGATGGACCTTTCATATGGTGTCCAGTATCTCCTCCTCATTTGTTGGGAACATGACGTTATATTGAGGAATGGAGAGGGATCTTTCATATGGTGTCCAGTATCTCCTCCTCATTTGTTGGGAACATGACGTTATATTGAGGAATGGAGATGGACCTTTCATATGGTGTCCAGTATCTCCTCATTTGTTGGGAACATGACATTATATTGAGGAATGGAGATGGACCTTTCATATGGTGTCCAGTATCTCCTCCTCAATAGTTGGGAACATTAAATGGTGGGATAGGTATATCGATGACATTCTTGCTCTCTGCAGTTAAGGTTTCTAATACATTCCTATACTGAAGGATGTAAAGATCTCTGTTATGAACAAAGCCAGCATACAGTTTGCATAATTGGAAGAAAATGGTGTCACCTCTGTATATAGAAAGAATTATCTGTTGTAACAGCTGTGAAATGAGGAACGGTCTTCTGCAGAAACATGACCTATCTGACTGGAAGAGCTTCCAATATTTCTAATAAGAATCATTGTAGAATGTTGATCTGGTTAGTTATCTGATTGCCTTTTTGGATCAGGAAGGAATTCTGTTAACCTGAAAAAAATTTGGCTACATTTTGTGGCTTTTCTGCCCATCTCTGGGTTATGATTATTACTTACTTGTGCCTATATAAAGAGAAGCATCATCCGGTTTACTTTTCACAGTTGTCTCTCTCTCCCCCATAGATTGCTGATCTCCACTCACCAACGTCTCTTCTTCTTCCTCTTTGATCTCGATTTTGATGTCTTTCATATCTTCAGCCTAAACCCCAAAGATAATAGAATATATTTATAAATGGAACACAAAGTTATACAGAAGAATGTCCTCTCAAAGCTTAGAATACAATTTTAGGTCTTCATACTCAGTCCCACCTACCTGATGATGGTAGGGATGGGGTGACCTTCCTGTGTGGAATCCCAGGAATACAGAGAACGGGGACATCTCTCTGGTGGGTTCCCATTACTGGGTCCATCTACCTGATGATGGTGAGGGATGGTGTGACCTTCCTGTGTGGAATCCAGTGAAAACAGAGGACAGGGACATCTCTCTGGTTGGGTTCCCATTACTGGATCCATCTACCTGATGATGGTGAGGGATGGTGTGATCTTCCTGTGTGGATTCCTGGGAATACAGAGAATGGGGACATCTCTCTGGTGGTTTCCCATGACTGGATCCATCTACCTGATGATGGTGAGGGATGGTGTGACCTTCCTGTGTGGAATCCCGGGAATACAGAAGACGGGGACATCACTCTGGCGGGTTCCCATGGCTGGATGCATCTACCTGATGATGGTGAGGGATGGTGTGATCTTCCTGTTTGGAATCCCGGGAATACAGAGGACGGGGACATCTCTCTGGTGGGTTCCCATTACTGGATCCATCTACCTGATGGTGAGGGATGGTGCCATCTTTCTGTGTGGAATCCCGGGAATACAGAGGACAGGGATGTCTCTCTGATGGGTTCCCATTACTGGATCCATCTACCTGATGATGGTGAGGGATGGTGTGATCTTCCTGTGTGGAATCCTGGGAATACAGAGGACAGGGACATCTCTCTGGTGGGTTCCCATGACTGGATCAATCTACCTGATGATGGTGAGGGATGATGTGATCTTCCTGTGTGGAGCCCGGGAATACAGAGGATACGGACATCTCTCTGATGGGTTCCCATTACTGGATCCATCTACCTGATGATGGTGAGGGATGGTGTGATCTTCCAGTGTGGAATCCTGGGAATACAGAGGACGGGGACATCTCTCTGGTGGGTTCCCATGACTGGATCCATCTGTAGGAAAAAACACACACTGACTGAATACAGTTTCTGTTTCCCTTTGTTTTTTTAATGAATTGGATGGACATTTATCTTTTGTAACTCTGTAATATAAATACAAACTTTATATTTCTAAAATTAAAATCTCAACTGTTTCTGCATTTAGTGTTTACGACTTACTTGTGTCCATATGTAGAGAAGGTTCCTCCGGTTTACTTTTCATAATCCTCTCCCCCTCCTCCATAGACTCTTCATTTCCACTCAGCAATGTCTCTTTTTCTTCTTCTTCTTGATCTTCAACTTTGATGTCTATCAGTTCCTCCTCCTAAACACCAATGTTGATAAAATGGATTTGTAAACCGAAAAGGAGGGATCACATGACACCATCTCAGAACTTTAAATATATTGATATAGGAGGTGTGACAATTTTGCCCGTGGTGTAGCACTACGGCGGTGAGCCACGCAGACATTCGCACTCAAGCATGTTCTAACTTGCACCCTTCTGGGTCGCAGACCAGTTGACTCGGTCTTTATGGAGTAGTAGAAATAACATTTGCGAGCATTGCGCTCTTGAAGGAAAATGAGTGACAGGAATCATGGAGGAGCGTATTAACATTCAATTTTGATGGCCATACCTCTTTTTTCATAAAATTCTGTATCCGTAATACTACTGAACCAAAGGAATATCTGTGTTATTGTACCGTAATCAGGGGCAGACTGACCCTGGTGTCTTTCATAGGCTTTTTTGGGTGTGGTTTGAGTGTGGGCGAGGACACAGGGGCCCCATGATCCCCTATTGCCTGGGGGCCCCATGAGTTGTCAGTCCGCCCCTGACCGTAATGCATATCTTAAACATCACATCCGGTGCTTTCTGTCCCGGGACCCCTATTATTATAACATTGTCCTCCTTCTCCTCCTTCTACAGCTTCTTTACCTGACCCTACCACCCATGCTGGATCTTCT